CACAAATAGGAAAAGGATTCTCATTAAAGGTTTGCCTAAGACTAGCTGATAGAAGTGGATCATACAATTGATCCTCATCAGGTAGTGTTCTCAACAATATGTAATCGAGAGAAGTATTTTTTAGTTCCATGCAAAGATCCTCATGGAAACGATCTACAAAATTCTTTATACTGTTCACACCAGTTCTAATGGTTTGGAATTATTTTCTAAAGCAACTTGCTTATCCATCAATCTGGCATGGTCATGGATATTGAAAGAAAAGGGTCTAGAAGTAAAAAAAAATTAATGGCAGTTTTTTTTTTTTTGGTTTTTTTTTTTTTAAAAATTAGAGAATATAAAGGAGCAAGAAACACAAAAATATGGATCATTTGCAAAATTTTATTAACTTACCGATGAATAAAAATTCAAGTCTCAATATTCTAAAGGAGAATCATGGACCTTCAAGAGATGACAATTGAAATAATAAGCACCGATAGAATCGAGAATTTTATATGTACTTTATATTGTGCTTTCATGAGAAAGAATCCTTTACATGGGTATTTCTCGAAAATTATAGAGGATGCTGTAAGCATCCAGTTATATAATGGATAAAACGATACCAACACCGGATTCATGACATGAGCAGAGGATAAGATACACACTCTCACTAGTTTATGAAAGTTATCTCTAACAATTATCAAAACCAAACACAACTTCAATGTTTTACTGACGAGCTGATATACATACTTCAATTTTAGCAAAAATGCTCAGACTTTAGTTCTTATTCTTATATATTTCCATCGTCAATTGCAATCTAAGATCAAGGCTTACCAGGAATAATACTTACGTATTTACATAGTACTCTACTATTCATTACTTGATGTCTATATTGAACGCTAACATAAATGACACAAGTATATGCAAGGAACAAGAAGAAGAAAAAAAGAAAAGAACACAAGTAGAGATAATGAGTAAGTACAACAGAACCGAGAAAGACTTGCCTTTGTCACCACATAATCTATGGAAGGCTCAAAACTAGCAGGTGTTTTCTTTGTGATGTCGTTAGGAATATGATCCAACGAGTATCCGACTGATAACTTGGCAGCCATCTTCGCGATTGGGAAACCAGTAGCCTTTGATGCCAGAGCTGAGGACCTTGACACTCTAGGATTCATTTCAATTACCATAACTTCACCATCTTCAGGATTGATGGCGAATTGAACGTTTGAACCACCACATTCAACTCCTATTTCTCTTATAATGGCAATTGAGTAATCCCTAAGCCGCTGGTACTCCTTGTCTGTCAAGGTCTGTGCAGGGGCAACAGTGATTGAATCCCCAGTATGAACGCCCATTGGATCAATATTCTCAATTGAGCATATAATAACCACATTGTCTGCCAAATCTCTCATAACCTCAAGCTCATATTCCTTCCATCCCAACAGAGATTTCTCCACCAGAACCTGTGATGTCAAGCTAGCAGCAAGCCCGGACTTACAAATCGATTCAAATTCCTCCCTGTTATAAGCAATCCCACCTCCCGTTCCACCCAAAGTGAAGGCGGGTCGTATAATCAAAGGGAATTTCCCGATTGAACTCGCGATTTCGATACACTCATCGAGTGTATTCCCAATACCCGAAGGTGGTGTTTTGATCCCAATATTCTTCATAGCTTGCTTGAACAATTCTCTATCTTCTGCTTTCTTAATTGCTTCAAGCTTTGCTCCAATTAACTCAACACCATATTTCTCAAGAGACCGTCTCTCCGCCAATGCCACCGCAAGATTAAGAGCGGTCTGACCGCCCATCGTGGGCAATAGAGCGTCGGGCCGCTCTTTCTCGAGCACTTGCTCGACAAGTTCAGGTGTCATTGGCGCAATGTAAGTCCTATCAGCCAAATCAGGATCAGTCATGATCGTAGCAGGGTTGGAATTGATTAAAACAACCTCATAACCTTCTTCCTTAAGAGCTTTACAAGCTTGAGTTCCAGAGTAATCGAACTCACAAGCTTGACCGATCACAATCGGCCCAGCACCCAGAATCAGAATCTTCTTAATGTCGGTTCTTTTACCAATTTGAGAGTTGTGAAACCCTCCTCCTCCTCCTCCGCCTCCTCGATTCGTCGAATCATTATTGGCTTTCTCGCTTCGCACAGAGATCACTCTCTTGCAGAGTCTCGGCGATCGCGCAATTGAGAGCCGAGATTGGAGATTCAAGTATGAGGAATTGGTCATGCATGGTGATTTCTTGGAGATGAAAAAGAGGGAGAGAGAGTTGGGTTTGGAGGAATAGGATTTGGAAGGAGTGAGAAGAGATGATGATGAAATGAAGTTAGAAGTTGCATTGTCCAAGTGGTTCATGCAATGAGCCATCCCGCAATCACTCTCGCCTCTCTATGAACAATGTTCACAAGAAATTTCTCAAGAAGATGGATATATATATATATATATATATAGATGGAGAGAGAGAGAGAGAGAGAGAGAGAGAGAGAGAATATTGACGACCTACTGCATGCGCTAGGGTTTTGAGGATGCGCGGCTCCACTCCGCATCACTATTCTTTCCTCATTTGTGTTACTTTGTGAAACTAACAATGTTAACTACAACTGTTTATCTCGTAAATTTTATTTTGGGTATGTTTGGTTTGGTTTGGTTTGGTTTAGTTTTGTGAGTGTAATTTTTAAAAATTATTTTGAGAAGAGAGTTTAGAAATTTTTTTAATTTGTTTAGTTGTGTATTTTGAAAGTAGTTTTGGAGTGTGGAATGATTTGATATTTTGTTGTAATTAAGTAGATGTGTGAGAGAGAAAAAACAATTGAGAAAAAGAGAGAAGAGAGAAAAAGTGATTGATTGATGTGTAAAAGAGAGAAAGTGATTTTAGAAATTGTTTTGAAAAAATTACAAACCAAACAAACTTTTTAGAAAAAAAATTTCCAAAATCACTCTACAAAGCCAAACTAAACATACCATTTTTACAGATCTAGGAAGTGTTATAGTCGCAAAGTCAGAAAGTTCATATTTCATTTACTATTTTGGACTTTTAATTTTATAGGATTTTAGATTTTTTGACTTTTTAAATTTTTGTATCTTTTTTGTATCCACAAAAGATTAGCCTTGAAAATACACTCCATCATCCAAGTATACATATGTCCACATCAATTATTGACATCAACATACTCAGCAGAAAAAGACAAAATCTACAGAAGATAAGGCCGCTCTTCAACGATCAGCAAAATTCACGTCAAAAAACGACAATAGCTACTGTAATTATTTATGTCTGTCAGTAGTAAAACTTCTCCTTCACTCACTACTTTAATAGAGCAGATGACCCCTACCCTGCTCCATTAAAGAAAAGCTGTAAAAATCCTTATACGTGTTTTGTAACAAATTATGGTGTCAAAATTTTATCAAGAATGGAGGATTAAATGATATGCGTGGAGCCTAAAACAGTACCCGACATCATATCCTAACCCTTTATTGATATAATTTTTATTGTTTATGTCTAGAGTAATAGGAAGTTGGCCATAAAATGTGTCAACGTCCTTATATTTATTATGTAGAAGTTTTGTAAAGCCTATAACTAGGCTTGACTAGACTTCTGGACTTTTTTTTTAAAAATTAGACGTAAGGGTAAGTCTTGTTTTTGTTTGTATCCGTCAAAAGTATTGTATAAATTGGCATTCATGCCATCGGATGAAACAATGAAAAAATTCTCCCCATTATTCGTTGCAAAAATTTTCTCCAACTCCCTTACTCTAGTCTTTGTCTAAAAAATTCTAAGTGTTCAAATCCTTCAAGTTTTTCCAGAATCTCAAAGTCTGTAACATAATCTTTGTAAGTATACTACATATTAATATGAAGTGTGAACAATCTCTCTCTTTCCTTAGATATTTCAAAAGGGTAATTATTTTGTTCTAAAATTTATTTTCTTTTTGAAAAAACTAAGTTTATAAAATGCTTGCTTGCTCATTAATATTACATGCTTTGAACCTTCATAGTATCTGTTGTTTTTTATTTTATTACTGAGTGACCTTAGTTGAAGAGCCCGTGTGAGCTGTGGTTAGGCATTGAGGGCAAATTGTAGGCAGAAAGGGAGAGGCAAGAAATAGAAAATAAAAATATACTATGTTAAACGAGATTTAGCTTCAAAGTGGGAGTACATGTAATGAAAGAAAACATTGCTTAAAAATAGTTTTACCAAATAAGAAAAAGAATTTTAGAACATAAGGAGAGCAACATGAGTAGAAATATCAAGCGAATATTTTTCAAATAAGAGTTTTAAAATCAAAATTATATGCTTTTAGAGGAAGAATTTAGAATTAAAATCACATCCAGTACTGAGTTTATACAAGAATTAGAATTTCAAAAACTAAAATATCAATTTTTATTATCATTAGCCTCTGGTAGATCTCTAGTATATTATAGTTTGAAAATCACACAATTAAATGGACAGATAACTATAAAACAAACGGCCTTACAACTAGCCATAATACAACTTGAGGATTTATTAGCATAACTGTAGAATTAATTAGATAATTCTCAGCCCAATTTCAAAATAGTGGTAAACCACTAACTCACCCCCCAAAAATGGTATCAAAGCAGTGTTCGGTTTTAGGACAGTTAAAGTTAGTCTATGCATTTTACTTACGGTAATAGAGTGGGTTTTATTATTAGACAATTTAGTTATAAATTTTATATTATAGTAGCTTTTAATAATTTTAAAGTAAGATTTAATTTTGTGTATGAAAAGAATAGAATATTTAGATTTAGAACTCAGTAATTATAACCATTGCCTTAATATAAATAAAAATAAATTTCGTTGTAATTTTGAAGGCTCTTTTACACATCAGCTCCATAATGAACATAATTCTCAGCTAAATAGTATTATAGATCATTAGATTAATTTTGCAAAAAACATTAAAAAGGACGTAGATAAAATTAGTAATATTTTTACTTCATCTATAGACAATCTTCGTAATACTCGCTGTATAATTAAAGATCAAGATAAAAAATTAGATTATGTCCAAAATCAGTGTAGTTCAATCCTACAAAAACGAATAGATTTAAATTGAGAAAAATTCTCCACTAAGCTAGAAATATAAACTTTAATTTCAGCTATAAATATTAGTAGTTCAAAGCAAATAGAGTTAGAATTTAAGCAATTAATTGAAAAAATTCATAATCAGATAAATCAAATAGTTAGACAAATAGAACAGATCAACCAAATTCAAAATAATTTAAAGCATAAATTATAAATTTTAGAACAACTAATAAGATCTTAATTTATGAGTAGTGATAAAAAAAACAAAAAAAAAAAACTAATAGAGACTACCAGATTATTTTAAAACAAGCAGAAGACTTTCATAATAACCCAGAGGGAATTAGTAGCTATCAAGGAATAAATCAGTCAGATAAAATATCAGTAAAACAAAATAATATAGAAATTTTATTTCTTATCCTATTATGTGAAAATTTTGAAGAATTATCAGAACAACTACACAGTTTACAAAATTGTTTAACTTCATTAGAAAGATTAATACTTCAAAAAGGAAAAGGAATAGAAGGACAAGTAAGTAAAGCCCAATCTCGAATAAACGAATAAGATATAGCTAAGTATTTTGAAAAGCTTAAATTACCAAAGAAACCTATTTGTAGAACTTATAAAAAATAAAAATGTTTAAATAGTTCGTAAAAGGAAGTAGCTGTAAAAAGCGTAATGAGGATGAAGATGTTAAAGTAGAATAATTTATAGATGTAGAACAGTAAATAAAAATATTTAAAAAGGAAAAACTAGAATTAATTCCAGCTAAATATGTACATAAGTTAGGAAAATTTTATAAAAAATAATATTTATTTAAATACTATGGTGAACAAAGGATTAGTGTAACTCAAGAAAATGAAAAAATAGAGCTAAATTCAATAAATAGATAAAGTTATAAATATGTTGTAAATGAACGCCTCAAAATGACTCACTTAGAATTAGTTGTGATAGGAGTTAAGTCTTTAATTAGAGAAAATTTGCGAGCTAAAGTTTTTGTATGTCTTTATGATGATAGATTTAATGATGTAGGACAAAGTATTTTAGGTAGCTATGAATTAGATATGAATTCAAAAGGAGAAATAGTTTATTTTACACCAGATTTCCTTTTACCAACCTCGACCTTTCATAAAAAGATAAAAATAAGAATAAAAAGTATAGGATATAAAATGATAAAAGGAGAAAAGAATTTATTAGTTTGCACAGGACTTTTAGGCTTAGCGGTTTCAGAAAGCAATACTCATTATAGACTTACAAATGATCAAATAGCTAAGATATTACGCGCAAAAGGAATAGAGGCACTACCAGCTAAAAATTATAATTCTGAAGATAATGCAGCACTAGATTGGAATTTAAGAGATTTCCTAGGACAAAAGAAGTTAGCCCCTCAAGAAAATTTATTATATCAAAAAGCATATGGAAGTTATGCAGTAAGATTTATTCAATACACATATGTAGCACCAAAAAAATCCGAAGATGATGAATTTAGTAATGTAGATAAAGAAGAAAGTCAAGATAATCATAGTGACACAAATCAGCTTTATGTAATGACAGAGGAAAAAATAATATCACAAAATAAGATATATAATATCGATGAGATAAATTTAGAAAGTTTTACTTTAAGTGATATAAATAAAATATTAGATACTAGATACTATGAATGTATAGTTAGGGAAGATACCCATGATGAAGCAGTGTCATTTTTAGATCAAGAATTTCATATCGAATATGTAGATGATATTTTAGAAGATAAAATACATCTAAGTAAAATATTTAAAATACCTGAACAGTTTAACTTAGAAGACACTTTTTATATGAACACTCAAACAATAGAAAGCACAGGAACTAGCAACCCATAGCATACGATAGAAGATCCTCTAGAATCAATGCATTATAAAGTATAAGGAAGAAGACCATTAACTAATACAGGACGTAATAAAGCAGATCCGAATAAGAAGTATAAATCTCATGGAAAGCAAAGACAACTAGATATGAGTATACAATTACAGCCAGTAATCAACCAAGGAACCCTTTTAGATTTAGCTAGATTCGATCCTCAGATATGACAAGAAGTAATAAAAAAATGGGAAAAAGATGCAGTAAAGGCATGGATGAACAATCCCTTTGAATTAACTGATATGTGGAAATATATAGAAACACTTTTAGGAGATTCAGCTTTTAATATATATTTAACTTTTAAAGAAAATATGAGGAGACAATTAGACAGCTTAAAAGATTAGGAGATAACCCATGAAATTTTACGAGCTTTATAAAAGAAATGCTTATAGAATATGACCCTTCTAGAAGAAATAATTATACTCAGAGTATAGCATTAACCAAGTTGGATCAGATAACATTAGGAAGTTGGAAATATGTTGTACCTTTTAACAAATAATATTTAGCCATAGCAGCCAGAACTAAAAACAGTTTTGATGAACAAATAGGAAATAAATATTTTAGGAAATTATTAGGAGAATTAGAAAG